CAAACCCCAAATAGAAACGTTCGGGGTCTGACTGCAGGCCTTCGCTTTGCTGCGGAGGATGAGACGCAAACGTTTTGAACTGAAAGCCTCAATTCACAGCTTGAGTTAAGAGGATTTCCTGCCTTTCGGGGTCCCAAAAGCAAGAGGAAGGGAAGCGGAAGGAACTTTGTTGTTTTCCCTTTGACGAAATGCTTCAAAGCACGGACTAGACGGCCCTATTCGATCGCCAAAGGGCCCTCAACACCTCTCTCGGATCAGGGCGACGTGTTCTTCTTTGGTTCAGAATAGCTCCAAAGCAGAGTGTTGTGTCCATAAAAGGCCAAGTAGGTGCAATATGTACACATACATACACACATGCATTTCACTGCATAATAGTCGCACCACTATTTTTGTACCAAAATTAGTATTTTTGTGTTCCTTGCACAATAGTCGCAGAGCCATTCAGAGCTGATTCTCCCTTCCTTCTTTCTCTGAAGGCAATTTACAAACTAAAGTGGAGGTTTTTGGAGCTCCACTTTTCTCTCCTCCCTCCTTCCTTCTCCAAAGGCAAGACGGTTTAAAAACAACAACATGGAGGTCTCTGAAACTCTAGTCTTCTCTTTTACCTTTGAGGCCTTAAGGCAGTTTACAAAACCTGAAATATAGCTTTTAAATTGCCTTGTCTTTGGAGAAAGAAAGAAGAATTGGCCCCAGATGGCTCTGAAGTTAAACAAACAGATACCGAGCTGTTCATTGGAGGTTGGATCCTGGAAGTAAGGCATTCTATTTTTCTAAAACAAACATAAACCAGAGAATCAAAAGCAGAACTTTTTTCCTCACATAATAGTTGATGCAAAAAAGAAGTGTGATTATTGTGCTATAAAATATGGCATATTTTCTCCTCCTTCTCAGGTGTTAAGGCAGTAAACAAAACTCTGGAATTGAGGGAAGATTCCAGAGACCTCCATTTTAGGTTGAACTGTTTTGTTTCAGAGGAAAGAAAGAAGATTGGAGCTCCAGAGATCTCCATTTTGTAGTTTTTACACTGCTGGTATAGAAAGGAGAATCAGTCTCAAATGAGGGTGCGACTATTATGTGATAAAAAATACAATTTTGGCACCCCCAAAATAAGGGTGAGACTATTATGAGAGGAAAACAAAATAAAAAAATTGGCACCTCAAAAATAAGGGTGCGACTATTATGCAATGAAATACGTTCTATTAACAGTAACCTAAAATATGAGGACAATTGGTTTCCTTCTCATTCTGGACCCCGTTGGCCAGCCATCTTGGAGACTCATGGGATGTCCATGCCATACGTTGTGCGTCGATGGCTCGGAAGACTTTTCTTGGGTCAAGGGCTTTCAGATATGGCCAAAATCGCTCTATTTTTAAGGCATCCTTTACAAAGGGGCTCCCCGAGTCATCCATTAGGTTTTTAAGGCAGGTTAAGGCCACTACGGAAACAACAAGGATTTTGATAAAGCAGGCTATGGAGTGCAGCTGCGAAGGAAGGAGAAAGACGGAAGAAAGGAGGAGGGAGGGAACGGAAGGCGAGAGATGGAAGGAAGGACAGAGGAGATGGAAGGAAGGAGAGAGAAGGGAGGAAAGAGAGATGGATGGATGGATGGAGGAAGAGAGAGATGGATGGAAGGAAATGAAGGAGATAGATAGATAGATAGAAAAAAAAAAGTATAGAAACGCAAAGTAATAATGGAGATCTTAAGGAAGTAGAGAGACAAAGAATAAGAAGGGAGGAAGTAGAAAGCGGGAAGAAGAATGATTAAGAAGGAAAGATAGAGAAGTTATGAAGGAAGATGGATGTATTTGAAAGAAGAGTAGAGACGAAGTAATGAGAGAGACATATGATAAAATTAAGAATGAATGTGATATATAATAGTGAAGGTAGGAGAGAGAGGGAAGAAGGAAGAGATGAATTATTTATGTGAAGTATGGATTGGAGAAGGCAATAGATACATAAGAAGTGAATAATGGATGAAGTAGAGAAAAGTACAGAATTGGGAATTAATCCACACTAAGAATGGGTGAAATTTTCAGTTTAGTCTATCATTTTTTAATAAATGGTGAAGGAAGAGAAAGCAGAATGGGCAGTTTTTCAATTCAAGCAGACCTCAGCTTTGAAGAACTCAGGTAGAAGAAAGGAAGAGAAGAAGAAGGAAGGAGGGGAAGAAGGAAGAGAGACAGAAGAAAGTCGGAAGGAAAAAGGAAGGAAGGAAGGAAGGAAGGAGAGGCAGAAGGAAGGGTCCCTTAAGGCTTTAGTGCCACAAATAGGCCTTTGGGGAGCACAAATATGTAAACATTACAACAGCTTTGCAAGTCAAATCCATGAAGCTATAAAAATGAACCAGCTCCTCGTAAACTGTCCAAAGTCCACCGGAATCGGTTCGAGGCTCAAAACAAACGATTCTCCGAGGAATTTAGCATTATATATCTTTACGTATCTATGAGGTGACCAAACACCTTCCTTCAGGCAAAGGAACAAATTCCAGATGCCAAAGCTTGGCCCACTAAGGCAAGGGGACCTTGTTTTGTTCTGAGAAATCGTAGGAGAGACTGGTATCTTGAAAGGCAATTATCCCTTCCGAGGCAACCATTGCTAGCCCTGAAATAATAATAGTATCTCTGTTCACAAAGGGACAAAGCCGTTCCCGTTCCAGAGCTTCACCCTTTTTTCCTGCAAGGTAAATGTAAGGAGATTCGATCCAAACATCAAAAGAAGAAGGTGCCTTTTTAGCACACAAGACAGGCTAAAAATGGACAGAAGAAGCTTTTTTTGCTCCATATAAATATCTCTAAAAATGAAGTGTGTCTTGAGAATCGTATCTTATGCGTTGCATTTCGGTTGACGAGACTGAAATTCGGGTGTATCGCAGAACCGAACAAATAGGGTGTATCGTAAGCTGCACCCCCCATTGATCGTAAGCTGCACCCCCCTTTTAGTCCTAACAACAGCATCAAAACTGCTTCAGATACACCTCCAATTTCCCATCATGGTCCCTATGAATTGCACATATGATAGTTTCTGAGCCTGTGCTGACAGCTTCAGAACCTTCTAGAAAGATTTGAAAATTTTGCTGGTGGTTAGCCCCGCCCACTCTCCCCTTGTGAGTTTAAGTAGCCAGTGGGCGGAGCCACCACCTCAGTTTTTCCACCGCGAAAGCAGCCAGAAAAACCGAGGCATGACAACAGCGGGGAGGATGGGCGGGGATGTGCGAATTCACAGGTGACCACTCGGGAAACTACGGTTACAGGTAAGCAACCTATATTTCTAAGGCTTTTTAGAGAATATTTATATATAGGCATCTTGGAATCAGAGAAAGGCAACGGAGAGAAGAAATGAGCTTCCCAGAATCAGAGAAAGGCAACGGAGAGAAGAAACAAGCTTCTCAGAATCGGAGAAAGGAAGCAGAGAGAAGAAACTAGCTTCTTAGAATTGGAGAAAGGAAGCGGAAAGAAACAAGCTTCTCAGAATTGGAGAAAGGCAACGGAGAGAAGAAACGAGCTTCTCAGAACCGGAGAAAGGCAACGGAGAGAAGAAACGAGCTTCTTAGAATTGGAGAAAGGAAATTGAGAGAAGAAACGAGCTTCTTAGAATCGGAGAAAGGAAATGGAGAGAAGAAACGAGCTTCTCAGAATCAGAGAAAGGCAACGGAGAGAAGAAACGAGCTTCTCAGAACCGGAGAAAGGCAATGGAGAGAAGAAACGAGCTTCTCAGAACCGGAGAAAGGCAACAGAGAGAAGGAACGAGCTTCTCAGAATTGGAGAAAGGTGACAGAGAGAAGAAACGAGCTTCTTAGAATCGAAGAAAAGCAACGGAGAGAAGAAACGAGCTTCTTAGAATTAAAATAAGGCAACGGAGAGAAGAAACGACCATCTCAGCATTGGAGAAAGGCAACAGAGAGAAGAAACAAGTATCTCAGAATCAGAGAAAGCCAATGGAGAGAAGAAACGAGTTCTCAGAATCTAAAGGCAATGGAGAGAAGAAACAAGTTGCAGAAACGAGCTTCTTAGAAGCTAAGAAAGGCAACGGAGAGATGAAACGAGAATCGAAGAAAGGCAAAGAAGAGAAGACACGAGTTCCAGAAATGAGCTTCTTAGAATCAGAGAAAGGCAACAAGAGAGATGAAATGAGTTCCAGAAATGAGCTTCTTAGCATCAGAGAAAAGCAACAGAAGGAAGAAATGACTTCCAGAAATGACCATCTTAGAATTGGAGAAAGGCAACGGAGAGAAGAAACAAGATTCTTAGAATCGAAAGAAGGCAACGGAGAGAAGAAACGGCATCCAGAAACGAAGTTTTTCGGAGGGGAAAGCCGGGCAAGGGATAGCAGCGGATCTCTGCTCCTCTTTAAGACCACTTTTGTTTTATTCGCCGAGCGTCTCTCGGCGTTTGAGGGGAAGGGGGAAATACCCCCGAGGGGGTCCTTCGGTCCCTGCCGTTCCAATATGGAGGCATTTTGAGCTCTGTAGGCACTGTGGTAAGTAAGGCGGGGCCCGTAACACGCCCCCGACCGAGTCGACAGGCGCCTCTCGCCCCACCCGAGGGCTCCTGAGGCTCGGTCCGCAGGCATTTCCTGGGCCAAGATGGCCGATAAGATGGCTCCCTTCCCGCTAAGTCCGGAAGACGTGGACGGCCCGGATGACATACTGGCGGCAGATGGGGCACTCGTTCATGCGCTTCCCGCACTTGGTGCAGGTGACCATGTGGCCGCACTCCAGGAGGACGCAGTCGATGGCCGAGTCCATGCAGATCTTGCAGAGGTTCTCCTCCAAAGATGGCGGCTGTGAGGTAGCGCTGGGCGGCGGGACTGCAAGAGAAGGAGAAGAGGAGCAGACGGGGCCAAAGAAGGGGCCCTTGCACCCGTCCCCAAACCAGGAGGATTTGTGGCTTACCAGTCGGGTCGTTCGTGTCGGAACCTGAAAGGGAAACAGAAGAAAACAAAGCGTGGTTAGGTGTGGAAGAGGAGGAAGAGGATTGAATGCATAGACAACAGCAGAGGAAGATTTGTTGTTGTTTTTATTATTGACAAATTGATGAGGCAGAAGGAGGAGAAACGTTTGCCCAACTTCAAGAGATTGGGATTTGCTAGACGAATTGACTAGGCAGATGGAAGATCAAGATGTGTCCAAGTACAAGAGAGATTGAGATATGGTCATATTATGTAATAATAATAATAATAATAATAATAATAATAATAATAATAATAATAATAGATTAAGTGGATGGAGGCAAATGATGTGTCCAACTGCAAGAAAGATTAAGATATACCCATATTATATAATGATGATGATGATGATGATGATGATGATGATGATGATGATATGAATTGACTAGGGCAGTGGTTCTCAACCTTCCTAATGCCGCGACCCCTTAATACAGTTCCTCATGTTGTGGTGACCCCCAACCATAACCCTAACATTATGAATCGCCATATAAATAATGATCTACAGGATGTATTTTATTTCACTGCAGCAAATTTGGCACAAATACCCGGCATGCCCAAATTTGAATACTGGTGATGTTGGCGGGGAGATTGATTTTGCCATTTGTGAGTTGTAGTTGCTGGGATTTATAGTTAACCTGTAAACAAAGAGCATTCTGAACCCCACCAACAATAAATTTGAACCAAAGTTTGCACACAGAACTCCCATGACCAACAGAAAATACTGGAAGGGTTTGGTGGGCATTGACCTTGAGTTTGGAAGTTGAAGTTCGCCTATATCCAGAGAGCACTCTAGACTCCAGCAATGATGGATCTGGACCAAACTTGGCATGAATACTCAATATGGTCAAATGTGAACACTCGTGGGGTTTTGGGAAAATAGAACTTGAGATTTGGGAACTGTACTTGCTGGGATTTATAGTTCACCTACAATCAAGGAGTGTTCTGAACCCCAACAATGATAGAATTGGGCCAAAAATCCCACACAGAGACCCCCATGACCAATAGAAAATACTGTGTTTTCTGATGGTCTTTGGCGACCCCTCTGACACCCCTTCGCGACCCCTCCAGGGGTCCCGACCCCCAGGTTGAGAAACACTGGACTAGGAGGACACAACAACAAGCCTAAAATGGACAAATTGACTAGGTGGATGGAAGAGAAAAATTCAAGAAAGATTGAGATTTGCTCATATTATTATTTTATATAATCTACACATAATAAAAGTGTGTGTGTAGCTGGGGTGTCCACTTAAACAGACAAGGTCCTCCTCCACAAACAGCTATAGCTCACACCACGCAGGGGATACCAAAGGCCCTCCTTCCAATGGCATTGCAGGTTATAGTGACCGCTGTAAACATGTCCAAGAGCCCTGCCAATGTCCTCCATCAACACCATTCTGCCCACCACCCAAGTGAAGGCTTTCATACTGGGACAATTCCACCCTAGATTTTATGTGTTTGGTCCACTATGGACATCCCATTGTTTCTCACTCTCTCCACTGGTGTGGAATTTGCACTAGAGAGGTTTGGGGAGAATTCACCATGATTTATAGGAGTTGTAGGTCCTAATATATAGGGCTCTCCTCCCCCCATCAAGGCCTCACCGAGCTGCTGGAGGTCCTTCTCCTTGTAGAGGCGGGTGACCCTTTCCATCAGCTCCCACTTTTCGCAGCAGCCCTTGTAGTTGACGAAGTTGCGGGCCAGGATCTCCTTCAGCTGCCGGACGGAGAGGCCGCCGATGTCCCCGAGGCTGGTCAGGTCCGAGAGGGAGGCCCTCCGACCGGGGACCAGGTTGTCCTCCGAGTTGATGGACTGCAAAGGGGAAGAGGCAAAAAGAGAGTGCTGCCCATTCTCCTCCTTTGAGTGGTTCGAAGCAGAGGGTGGAATTTGGCCATCGGCCAAGAAGGTTTGGTTGTGCCTTCCTGGATGGGCAAAAGGCAGTCTGACTGGGTGGTCCTTGGGGTCTCTTCCAACTCTAGGATTCCATTCATCTCTCTCTCTCTCCTATCTGTCTATCTATCTATCCCTGCATCCATCTCTATCCATATCTATCTATTTATTTATCTATCCATCCATTTGTCTGTCCATCTATCTCTCTATCATCCATCCATTCATCTATCTATCTTTCCCATCTATCCATCCATTCTTCTATTTATCAATTCATCTTTTTATTTATCTATCCACCCACCCATCTATCTGCCTATCTATCCATCCATCCGTTTGTCTATCTCGCCTATCCATCCATCTATTCACTCGTCTATCTATTCATCCGTCCATTCATCTGTTTGTCTCTCCTATCTACCCATTCACCCATCCATTCGTCTATCTATCTATCCCTCCCTCTCTCCATCTGCCTATCTATGCATCCATCCATTCATTTGTCTTATCTATCTCTCCTATCCATCCATCCATCCATCTATTCATTCATCTATCTATCCATCCATTAGTCTCTCCATCTATCTATCTACCTACCTATCTATCCATCCATTCGTCTGTCTCTCCTATCTATCCACCCATCCATTCGTTTGTCTGTCTGTCTATCCATTCATTCATCTATCTATCCATCCGTCCATTCATCTGTCTCTACTATCTATCCATCCATCCACCCATCCATCCATCTATCCATCCATCTATCCATCCATCTATCCTATCCACCTATTAATCCATCCATCCATCCATCCATCTGCCTATCTATGCATCCATCCATTCATTTGTCTATCTCTCCTATCCATCTATTCATCTATCCATCCATCCATTCGTCTATCTGTCTCTTCTATCGACCCACCCATCCATTCGTCTGTCTATCTGTCTATCCACTCATCTATCTATCCATCCATCCATTCATCTGTCTCTCCTATCTATCCATCCACCCATCCATCTGTCCATTTGTCTATCTGTATGCCTCTCCTATCTATCCATCCACCCATCCATTCGTCCATCCATCCATCATCTCTCTTATGCATCCTTCCAACTTTATCTACCCATCCATCATCTTTTTCTTTCTTTCTTTCTACCTTAACAGGACATCCCTTGAGGTCTCCTTCAATCAATAGAAAATCTATCTATCTTCTATTAATCTATCTATCATCTTTTTTTCTTGCTGAACCGGATGTCCCTTGGGGTGTCTTCCAACTTTAGGACTCTTATCTTTCGATCTACTTGTCATCTTTCTTTCTAAAGGATTCAACTGGATGCCCCTTGGGGTCTTTTACAACTCTATGAGTCTACAATAGATAGATAGATGGATGGACGGACAGACAGATGGTGGAAGGAGGACAGATGGATGGGTGACTGGCTAGAGGCCTTACCTGCGTCTCCTCTTCGTTCCGCCGGTCCGCTGCCTCCTCGACGTCCGCCATGTCTTGGCTGGGCAGCGCCTGTCCATTGGCCTGAGAGGGAGGAGGAAACAAACAAAGGGGTGCTCAAGTCCATCCGCTCTCGTTTCAAAAGACGAAAGTGAGATGTAAACAAACACCAAAGTCATGGGAGTGAGGGAGGAAACGAAAGGAAGGGGACAAGGGGAAGGCTCAATGAGGGGGTGTTTTGCCCACCTTCTCGCCAGTTAGGACCACCAAGGTGCGGGTCAGGGGTCCCGAGGATGGTTTCGCCGAGGAAGGTGACTGGGGCCGGTCATGGTTGAACTGCAGGGAGCTCCCCTCCCCACGTGGCATGGCTCTGCTCTGCTGCCTCCCATTGTGACATCATGAGGAGAGGGAGGCCATGTATGTGACACAGCAAGCAGGCCCTTTCCTCCCCTTTCCCAAGAGGCCTTGCACTCCTACATGGGCCCGCCCCCGTCTCGGGATCTCCCAAAACAGCACATCACTTCCTACACCTCTTCCATACACCTTCAAGTACTCAACCATTGACGTGCTGCTCTCATCATCTGTCTGTCATGCGTTTCGTTGTTTTGCAAATAGCAACCTTCCAAGCCTTCACTATTTGTTTGTTAATATATATATATTTGCTAACCTATGTTGTATGTATATATTGATTTGCCATTTTGACTGTACCTCTTTGGTGTGGGAGGGGCTACTGACATGTGACTGTACTGAGCATGTCCAGACTCAAAATCCCAGTATGCTTTTGGACTTCAATGAAAGCAGATGCCTTTTGGCAGGAACAGTTTACTACATAGGTTGCTGTGAGTTTTCTGGGCTGTCGGGCCATGTTCTAGAAGCATTCTCTCCTGACTTTTCACCCACATCTATGGCAGACATCCTCAGACGTTGTGAGGTCTGTTGGAAACTAGGCAAGTGAGGTGTTTATATATCTGTGGAATAATGTCCAGAATGGGAGAAAGAACTCTTGCCTGTTTGAGGCAAGTGTGAATGTTGCAATTGATCCTCTTGATTAGCACTGAAAAGCCTTGCAGCTTCAAGGCTTGGCTGCTTACTGCCTGGGGGAAATCCTTTGTTGGGAGGTGATCAGCTGGCCCTGACAGTTTCCTGTCTTCTCTGGAAAAGGGAAGTCAATCAAAAGCGAGGCTAAGCAAAAGCAAGAGAGAAGGAAAGGTAATTGAGAGAGAAATCAGGCAAGAGAGACAGAAAGTCAATCAAGAGAGAAGGAAAGTCTATTGAGAGTAAAGGAAAATCAATTGAGAGAGAAGGAAAGTCAGCCAAGACCTTTGTAAAGATGAAGAAAAGTTAATTGAGAGTGAAGTAAAGTCAGACAGAAGTGAAGCTGTCTATCAAGAGAGAAAAAATCAGTCAAGACAGAAGGGAAGTCAATTGAGACAGAAGGAAGTCAAGCAAAAGAGAAGATAAGTCAATTGAGAGAGAAGGAAAGTCAATAGAAAGTAAAGGAAAGCCAACCAAGACCTTTGTAAAGACAATTGAGAAGCAAAGTCAGTGGAGAGAGAAGGAAAGTCAATAGAGAGTAAAAGAAACTCAGCCAAGACCTTTGTAAAGTCAATTAAGGAGAAGCAAGGTCATTGGAGAGAGAAGGAAAGTCAACAGAGAGAGAAAGTAAGTCAATAGAGAGGAAAGGAAAATTAATAGAGAGTAAAGGGAAGCCAGTCAAAACCTTTGTAAAGTCAACTGAAGGGAAGCAAAGTCAGCTGAGAGAAAAGGAAAGTCAGTCAAGAGAGAAGGAAGTCAAGCAAAAGAATAATAGGATCATAGATTCTATAAAAGAGAAGGTAAGTAAATTGAGATAAAAGAAAAGTCACACAAGACCTCTGTAAAGTCAATTGAGATGAAGGAAAGTCAGCTGAGGAGAAGCAAAGTCAACTGAGAGTGAAGGAAAATCAATAGGATGAGAAGGTAGGTCAATAGAGAGACATGGTGTCAATAAAAAGAGCAGGAAAGCCAGCCAAGACCTTTGTAAAGTCAGCCAGGAGAGAAGCAAAGTCAATGAAGAGAGAAGCAAAGTCAATGAAGAGAAGGAAAGTCAATGAAGAGAGAAGCTTAGTCAATGAGAAGTCAAAGGAACAGAATGAGAGTCAATGAAGAAGGAAAGACAATGAAGAGAAGGAAAGTCAATGAAGAGAGAAGGAAATTCAATGAAGAGAGAAGGAAAGTCAATGAAGAGAAGGAAAGTCAACTGAGACTTTTGTAAAGTCAATTAAGATGAAGAAAAGTCAGCCGAGAGAGAAGGACAGTCAGCTGTGAGCCTTGTCAAGGTCAATTGAGAGCACAGGTAAGTCAGGCAAGGGGTATGGCAAGTCAACCAAGAGCAAGGGCAGACGAGAATTTTGGTGATGGACCTTAACGTGACGGGGGCCTACCTGGGCCGGCTGCTCCACCTGCACCTGGGGGTCCATTGCAACCTGCAAACACTCATCCGGGACCCGGGAGGGAGTCTCCGCTGGAGGAGGCTCCTGCTGCCCTGGGTTGGGCTCCCGCTGGCTGAGGATGAGTCCCACCAGCTCGTCCTTCTCGCGGCAGGTGGTGGTGGAGATGTCCCGCAGCTCCAGGTAGTCCCGCAGGTCCTTGACCTTCATCTTGATCAGGTCCTCACGCCGGAAGGCCGTGGCCCGGAAGCGTTCACAGAGGAGGCAACGGCACAGTCCCCCATCGAGGCAGTGCGAGCAGGCGGCGCAGAAGCTCTTCTTGCAGTCCTGGCAGACGTTCTAACGTGCAGGAAGCGACCGAGGAATTGCCGAAATCAAGGGAAAGCCTTACTGTCAGTTTATTCTTGCAACACTGCGCTCTGCTACAGATACCAAATACCCCTACACGCCATTGCCGCGTCCTCCCATATTCGCCGCCTTTGTTCCCTCATCGGTCGCCAACTTAATGGCTCCATTTACAGGCTCTCAATGGGGCTTTGTTTTCCTGGTGAGCGTTGGATGTAAACAAAAGGGGGGTGGACTAACAATACTGTATAGTTATATTGTTGGATATGCCTGCTTTAACTTTTTAACTCGTTTGCTCACCCCGTATCCGCGGGGAATATGCCCCATGGAACAACACTAGTTTCGGAGTAAGTTGAACATTGACTTGAAGGGATACAAGTATACTATGTATATATGAGCTAATATGCAGCCTGGAGTGCGCTCTCTCGCTCGCGTGCTTGCTCACCTTGATTGGGGGGATTCCGAAGGGTCCCCCACAGGCCTTGCAGGTGGGAGGGTCGGGGCTGCTGGGCGAAGGGAAGGCGCTGTAGCCGGCGTTGGCATAGGCCCGACTCCCAGACGGCGGGCGGTGGGCCATGTCCTCCGGCTGGCCATTCAGGCAGAACCAATTGCAGCAGGCTGCCCACATGGTGGCTGGAGGGAAGGGGGGAAGGGAGGGGTCACAAGGGGGCAACAATGGATCCCACCCGCCCCAATGAATTCGGAGAGAACCCAAGGGGCAGACAGTCAAACCCCTAAAATAGATACGTAGATGGATAGATGGATAATAGGTATCCTAGAGTTCGAAGAGTGCCCAAGAGACATCCAGTGAAGACCCTAGATAAATAGATAGATAGATGGATTAATAGATAGATAGATAGATGGATGGATGAATAATAGGTATCCTAGAGTTGGAAGAGAGCCCAAGGGACATCCAGTTAAACCCTTAGATAGATGGATGGACAGATAAATAGATACATAGATAGATGGATGAATAGATGGATGGATAATAGGTACCCTAGAGTTAGAAGAGAGCCCAAGGGACATCCAGCTAAACCCTTAGATAGATGGATGGACAGATAAATAGATACATAGATAG